TATCTACAGCCACGGAAAAATTAAGAGAACGCAGCACAATTTTTTGTTTCAATCATTTCTCAGTGTATGCCTTGCGTCTGTGAATAACAATTTTTTTGTTGTTATTTTTTTTACAAACTGCAGCCTGGTTCTTCTGTTTCTCATCAATGAACTACTTCTTCCATGCTTTATTGGACTTCAGTCCTGCTTCTACGAGCCTGATACACACTGTCCTAGCAGTGCACTTCACACCTACACTTAATGTTTCCCATTCCTTTTGAAGGTCACTTGACGTCATTGTCCGATTCATGAGAAACTGTCACATAAGTTGATGGTCATCTCTGGCATTAGTATACCCCTTCTGCCCTTTACCTGGCTGGTTTCTGATCATTCCCAGTGTCTCCTGCTTCACCATATTCTTGTGTACTGCTGTCTAAGAATTTTTAACCTGAAAGCAACATGCTGCTCAGCGTAGCCTTCTGCCAGCAGAACCAGGATTTAAAAATGCAGATTTGTTTAAAAACAGAGTGGTCTCTTAATTCTTTCCATGTCTATATATCTGGCTCGCTGATAAACAAATGCTAAATGCTATTTTTGCTTTACTCCTTTTTTTGTAAAAGCAAAAATCCTCTTTGGATTTCTCCTGGTTAAGGAAAACAGGTACTCATGTAGGTCTACCATAGAAGCGAAGGGGCGTAAACCAAACGTTTGCAAAGCAGAGGATACCTGTACTTACTGTAGAAGGTCGCCCCCTTCTGGTGGCCACCGCTGTGACGTTGAACGTTTAATTAGTGGGCGGCTCCTGGGGAGAACCATATATATATTGGAAGGTTCCCACCCGGATTTGTATCTTTATTTGGCTTTGCCCTTTCTGAGAATTTGGTATCTGAACCGGTAAGGTGTTCTATCGTTTCAAACGGCTGCTACATTGTTGGGCGTCCTACTCGAGCATCGAGCAGGAGGTGTGTTCTTTTATCGGGCTGGTTTTACCAAAGGTCGGTTACGTGTTGGCTAATGGGTTTTTGGTTTTAGTGTCTGAGCTTGGGTTTTTCAGCCCTTATCTCCTCCATTGCTGAAAACCTGGTTTTGCCAACTGGTTATTTGGAGTGCAAACAATGAATGTATGATAGCTTTCATTCACCAGAAGGAAAACAATAGTCAGTGTTACTCTGAGGCAAGGTAGGCTAGGTTTTGGTATTTTAATAATTTCTAAATTGATTTGTTTCAACATCCATCCATCTTCTTCCGCTTATCCGAGGGTCGGATCGCGGGGGCAGCAGTCTCAGCAGGGAAACCCAGACTTCCCTCTCCCCGGCTACTTCTTCCAGCTCCTTCGGGGGAATCTCGAGGCGTTCCCAGACCAGCCGAGAGACATAGTCCCTCCAGCATGTCCTGGGTCTTCCCCGGGGCCTCCTCCCAGTGGGACATGCCCGGAACACCGCACCAGGAAGGCGTCCAGGAGGCATCTTAAGCAGATGCCCGAGCCACCTCATCTGGCTCCTCTCAATGTGGAGGAGCAGCGGCTCTACTGAGTCCCTCCCGAATGACCGAGCTCCTCACCCTCTCTCTAAAGGAAAGCCCAGCCACCCTGCAGAAGTAACTCATTTCTGCCACTTACACTCGCGATCACGTTCTTTCGTTCACTACCCACAGCTCGTGACCATAGGTGAGGGTAGGGACGTAGATCGATTGGTAAACTGAGAGCTTTGCCTTTTGGCTCAGCTTCTTCTTCACCATGACAGACTGATGCAGCGCCCGCATGACTGCTGACGCCGCACTGATCCGCCTGTCGATCTCCCACTCCATCGTCCCCTCACTCGTGAACAAGACCCCGAGATACTTAAACTCCTCCACTTGGGGAAGGACCTCCTCCCCGACCCGGAGAGAGCACTCCACCCTTCTCCGCCTGAGGACTATGGTCTCGGATTTGGAGGTGCTGATTCTCATCCCAGCCGCTTCACACTCAGCTGCGAACTGCTCCAGTGAGAGCCGAAGGTCACGGTCCGATGAAGCCAACAGAACCACATCATCTGCAAAAAGCAGAGACCTAATCCTGAGGTCACCAAACCGGACACCCTCAACGGCCTGGCTGCACCTAGAAATTCTGTCCCTAAAAGCTATGAACAGAATCGGTGAAAAAGGGCAGCCCTGACGGAGTCCAACCCTCACCGGAAACGTTTTAACATTACTAATGAATATTTTTTAGTTTCCTGTAGCGAGGCCAGTGTGGTGTTTTCGCCTGTTGTGCAAGCCATCAAACCTTTCCTCAAGTTCACCGCTATTGCCTTTCTGTGGTGTTTTGCTTATTTTACCGACCGGTTGTTGCGGTTACTTTTTTATCAACTATTGTTTTTCTTTAACGGTTTTATTTGTTTTTGTTTTTTTGAATTTCTTTTCATGTTTGTGAATTGTTTTGTTTCCTTGGGAGGAACAATTTGGGGAGGGGGCTGTGTGTTGGGTAGTTGGGCCCACTGGTCTTTTTGCGTATAACACTCGGAGTGGTGTGGAGTGTGTCCTGTTCATGTGCTGTGTAGTGGTGGGGGCTCTTCTTCTCTGTCCCTGTGTTAAATCAAACTCTGTCCCTTGCCTTAGTTTGCCAGACATATTGTAGGACCAGTAGGATTCATAAGAAGTGTGTTTTATTGGAATCACGTCCCTGCCTTCTTCGTGTGGACGAACCGGTGTGCCTTGGTCTTAAGCGGATTATCAATTAGAGATTCCTTAGGGTGAAAGTCCCTCAGGTGGCATAGTCGAACATCATTCCCCTTTCCATGCTCGTTCCGCCACATTACATTTATAGAAGGCGATGGTGTACGGCATGCATTTATTATCGACCCATCAGTGAGACTTGGATTAATGTCACACCTTGGGCAGACACCCTAACCCCCCCTCAGTTTCCCCGAGTGCTGGGAATTGTGGGAAAGGTGAGGAACAGGGGCCGGCGTGCCCAGAAACGTTACCCACGGTGCTGTCATCTCCAGCCCCGTTTCTAGTGCAGGGAACAGGTTTATTGAAAATGCCCCAGAGATCTGCCTGGCCAGATAAAGACGAAAAGAAGCGACCTAATTCTGAGGCGCCCCCTTAGTGGGGGCCTCGTTACGAAAGTGGACCACGGGCTCCAGCCAGAACCAGGGGAAGCACAGTAAATTCCCCCCCAGATGTAACCATTCCTCTCCCCTTTCTGGGGGCAATGAGGGGTCCTATGGAACAAACGTCCAGCCCCCCCCCCCAAACTCTTAGCCTTGGTTCATTCCCTCTGACACCACTTTAACCCTTGACTGCCAAGCCGCCAGCCCAGTTCTGGGGTTCCTGGGTGTCCTTCTTACAAGACGAGCTGCTCTTAGGCGTGAATCTTTGGACCCACGTAGTAGTGGACAAACTTCCATTACGGCCCCCTTATTTACCGTGAATGACCTGGAATGATTTCATTTACAAAGCGCAGTGTTGTATCTGAGGGCTACCCCTGCCGTGAGATCCACAGAAAACAGCCATGAAGTGACTAACGCTGGAGTGAGCAGACCCAGATCCAGCACAAACAAGGAGGAAACCTCCCGCTCTAATTACCATCTGCGCACACACGCGTCAGCGCCACCAGCCAATCACCACGTACATTCATACACAGGTCAGGGCGACTGACCAATCACCAACTATATACAGACACAGGTCAGGGCAACAGACCATTGACTGCCTAATCACAGCGTGGTCTCTCTCCAACGACTACCTTTTCACACTGCAGTTTCTAAAGTGATATTTACACACACCAAGGTCACAGATTCAGTCTGTCTTTTACATGGCTTGGCCTTTTCAGAGCCGTTCCCTCCTGAGCTGCGTGTACCAGAAGAGGGTGTGTTAGAAGAGTCTGCACATTTTAAAGCATGTTGGAACAGACCAAAGCCCAGCAGAAAAAGAAACAAAGTCTGTCAAAGCCAGCAAAAGTAGGAAATGCCTGCAAAACTGACCTGACTATTCACTTACTGTAACCACATTAAAAACACCAATTTAAATTGGAATCTGCATATCTCAAGTAAATTTGACATAACATACAGCCAATACGGATCGGGCCACCACGCCTCCAGTATGGGGGATTCAGAGCAATACGGATCGGGTCACCACGCCTCCAGTATGGGGGATTCAGAGCAATACGGATCGGGTCACCACGCCTCCAGTATGGGGGATTCAGAGCAATACGGATCGGGCCACCACGCCTCCAGTATTGGGGATTCAGAGCAATACGGATCGGGCCACCACGCCTCCAGTATTGGGGATTACGAGCAATATGGATCGGTCACCACGCCTTCGATATGAGGACCCCAGCCCCATGGGTTGGTCTGGCTTCTGTGGAGTGAAATCTTGTCTTCCCCTGCATCTGTGCCCTCCTCTGCTGCCCCAGAGTGTCCACATTACCCCACCCCCACTTATGCATGGTTGTGCTGAAAGGAAACTGAGGTCCACCAGCCTCTTTGCCACTCATTATACTCACACAGAGGCTGGGCTCTGCCCTTCCGTTGTTGCACAGTCCCCCGGCCGTCCGACACAGCATGGTGATTTAAGGTTACCCACAATTAGAGTTTTCCTATAGCCAGCTCGTTCTCCGTTTAGTTCCCACCACACCACACTATCAATACCGACGGTCAGCTCTTATTCCATGGTGACCAGAAACACCAGGGCAACACCTCAGCTGGTCACAGCCCTGCACACACCCCCAATGCTGTACCATGATGGAGGAATGGAGATTACAATCCCTATTCATTATAACTGATTCCACATAAAAGCTCTGCCCCTGATGCAAATTCTCTTACCGCCCTCGGCACGTTTTAAGGGACCAGGGCACTCGGAGGATCAGGGTGTCTCTGGGAGTCGAACCCTGACTACGTCCTCAGGGAAATCCCAGTGCGCGTGATCCCCCGGGTCACGGACTCAGCTGCTGCCAGGGACGATCCATGTTTAGCAGCCTTACGAAACTGCCAAGCATTGTGGGCAATTTTTCGATGCCTCGCTGACCCACTCACTGCCAGCTAGGGAGAGTAAGTCAGGAATCATTTACTGTACATCAACATGAAAAACAAGACATGAAATACTTAAGACACAAATTTAAACAAGAGGGACAACAGGAAAAATAAAAGCAAACGCAGGTATCAGCGATGGCGCAGTGCTGCCATCTACTGACCAAAGTGCTGCACTGGCATATCTGCTGTATGGTCACTATAATCAGGTGCCCTATATTGTAGAGCTTCATTGGTGGAAATCAGATCCAATGCAGACATGGAGCCGTCTGTTTGAGTACAAGGAATGTGTCAGCGTCACAGACGGGGACTTGGATTGAGGGAGCCGGGTTGGATGGTTGGCAACGACAGCCAGCAGAGGCCGCTGCTCCTTCTGCACGGCTGGATCGGAGTATGTTTCTGCTGGGAAAGCACTGTATATGGGAGGGGCATCAGGCCACACCCACTGGGATGAGAGGGGACATCAAGCAGGGCAGGTGATGGTCAGGGTTGGCGATCATCTTAACACTTACGACAATAAAACATATGAACAGACTAATGTCTAAACAGTTAGCAAGTAAAATTCACAGGGTGGCTAAAGTCAATGGACAAACAATTAACAATGGCATCATCGCCACAGTGTATAGAAAGGGAGGAATGTGAAAAACTTAGCGATATAACACAATTGCATGGTGTTACAGTTCACAGTGCCAACACATGGGGTGCAGTGCAACATATTTAGATTGCCAGACCTCACCAGAGGCTCACAGAGACAACTGCCAGACTAAACCAGATGATCACGGAGATATTGATAAATGGTGTCAGGTCAGTCTAGTGCAGTGTAAAAGCAGCTACCCCCTTAGAGAGCCAACTGGCTGCAATCTGCTTAAATCGCCCAGCTATGGACTGCAGCTCACAGCTTGCAGTTCACAGCTCTGTTAATTAGGAAGTAAAAGTCTAAGGGACTGTAACTTGTGCTAGAAGCCCCCTGGTGGTTTTGGGGACGAAATGCGGCAAGAAGACGAACGGAGCTGTAGGCACCCATGTGTAATACTAACAGGCAGCAAAGGCCCAAATGGAAACCATAGCCATAAGTGAGACTCCACTACCATGCTGGGATCACAGCACAGCTGATCAAGTCACAGAAACTGGCATTACATCCCCAAAACAAGGCATTCTCATTGGCCTGTGTGGCATCATGTGACGACTCCACATGCAACATGAACAGTTTTGCAAACATCCTCACAATCACCCACATTTCCTCGGTCGGTCTCTCTCCAGAGCTCGTTACCCATAGTGTATTTCATCCTCACGGGGTTACAGGCGTTCAGACGCATGCACTCCCGTCACTGACGGTCAGCACTCACCGTTCCTAAGCAACGGCAATCTCTGATGCAGAGGCGGGACCCTTCTGATCAGCTCACTGGTGGAACACTGACCTCAGACCAGTGTGATACAGGAAACTCTCTCTCTCTCTCTCTCTCTCTCTCTCTCTCTCTCTCGTCCTCATATTATTTCCTGCATCACAGTTCACTTCCCTTCTGATGAAGCTCGTCATCACGGTGCAAACCCAGCCTATTCAGACTAAGGCACATTGCACAGTCAAACAAGCCAGTGAAAACGCGAGCAGCCGCACTCGAAAGAGCTTCCGTAAAGGGAGGCAGAAAAAAAACACCTGCATTGTAACCTACTGAAAAGCTGTTTTTCATCTTCAGGAAATTAAACACTAACATAAAACCGCTGACCACGCTGACTTTTTTTCCCCCTTTAAAGCACACTTTCATCTGTGTTTCTGACAAGGCCAATGTTAGACTTCGCATTCCAAACCCGTGTTATTTTGATTTGAGGTCTGATTAAGATTTAAAACCTAATTAAGTTTTTTTTACAGGTATTTGTAGAAAAGGTACGGTATATTTAAATGATCTGAAAAAAATATGCATGCAGTTCATTTTACTTAGTATCTTATTATTTTAACCAAAAGCCCCAAATGTGATCATCTCATCTAAACACGTAAGTTTACCGGCAGCCATCTGAAGGGGGTGACCCTGGCGTCTCTCTGCTAATGTTTTCTGAGGATTGCAGTAAAGATTCTCAAATGACCCGGACATCGGGGGTGGGGGGGGCATGCAGATGCAGAGCCATATCAGAGACGTGCGGTCGGCAAATGTCTGCCACTGGGACCCCGCGACTGCCAGCCTGCCCCCCTCAGAGCGCTAGCTTAACCTTGAGTGGGGGGGGGGGTTTGATGCAGTCGCTGAGGGTAGATTCCAGCTGCGCAGGCGCGTTATGCAACGAGCAGTGTGCGTACGAGCTCAGGCGCCGAGAGGAGCTGAGGCGCCGAGAGGAGCTGAGGCCGGCATGCGAGGGGAGGAGGCGCCCTGCAGCGAACGCCGGCCTCGTCGCAAATTTGTCATTTACACCATCACCATTAGCGTCTCATGGCGCTTTTTAACAAGCCCAGGGCTCATTTACACAGCCAGCATTTTTCTGACGCACAGCACCAGGCACAGTAATGCAGAGGCCTTGAATTAACAACTTCCTGCTCTCAACGACATGTTCATGACTCGAGCACCAGCAGCCAATCACTCCATGAAATAAAATACTCATTTACCGGACGGAATCACAGAGCCCCCGCACACTCAGCTATTCCGGGAACTTGGGCAAGGGTGTGACTACACTACCCCCCGTGACCTGAACCCTTTTGACCTTTCACACCTTGTCAATTCAAAGTGAGGACATCAGATATGATGTTCAGAGGGACCTCTTGCTGTTGGAACAGCGAACAGCATCGCCTGAGCTGATCCCAGCTCTGATTATGAAAACTCCAGAATCTAAATTATGTAACAGCCCCCCCCCCCCCCCCATCAGACAGACTTCCATCTGTGCTCTGGGCACACAACCCGCTGTTACAATAGAGCTTTCCAAACACTTTTGAGAGCTGCCAATCTCAGCATCATGCACCAATCACTGACGACTATGGAGAACAGGGCTGGGGCATGCACCTGGTCTGCACCAATCACAGCCGAAGGGATAGCAGGAGCCCCACCGCAGGGAGTACTGCTACACCAATCACAGCAGGGAAACGAAGAACAGCAATAGCGAGGGGGATCTTAGCTGCGCTCATTCATTCTGTTTCCTAACAACTCCAACAGACTGCAAAGACACGATTTGGGCTACAGTAATGGCACAGTAATCATTTTCTCTCCGTTTCAGCTGTGGTGTTTGTACCACTAGCAAGCTGCCAGCACAGACCACATGGGGAGGCTCAGCCAATCGGCAAGCAGTGCTATCAGCAGGCCTAAAAGCATCCTTTGGTAGACAGCCTACATAATGCCAATATGAGCGACATCTCACACAGCACAGAGCCAGTGAGAGCACGGTGCACACGGCTCATTTTGTCTCTGCCTTTTCTGTATCTCTCTTTAACCAAACAAACAAACGCTGCTCTGGTTTAGCTACATAACCAGATCAGACGTTTTATGGATTAACTGACAGATTGGGTTTAACAGCATCTGGCAGCACTGTCAAAAGCGGGATGTGGAGAAAACTCACCACCACCCCTGCCACAGTAACCATCTAGCAGTGCACCTCATGCAAATGCACAAGTCTTTGTTAGCGCCTTTAAATAAGATCCAAAATAAACAGTGTGAACATAGAAAAATCTTAATCAACCCTTCCATAAAATGAAGGCAATAAGCACACTGACAGCAGCTCTGTCTACCATTATCATAATAATCCCACGTACACAAAACAAGACTGCACAACACATACAGAGAATATTTACTTCAATTATATTTGCTTAAACACACATTATTACAAACATCGTCTAATTCAGGCTTATACAAGTAATAATAACAGCAATGTTCATTAATTACCCTAGATTGTGTAAAGTCTATTAAAAGCACATACTTGTACAGCAGAGTACGGCGTTGGGACAGCACATTCGTTACCTTGGTTACAGGTACTACAGAAGTTCCCGCGACCTTGGTAACTTCTACTCCCTAATAAAGCCCGTTAACTCTATTGTGAACCTACCAGACAGGACCACAGAGGACCATGACAGACACAAGTACTGCAGCTGAAATGGACAGGCTCAATCTGGTTCTAACCCCCCCCCCCCACACGGAGTAAAAGTCATTCTTGCTGCTTTACTACGCGGACCCTGGGTTCCCATCCTGACAAGCAGGTGGCGTCGTATACAGCCACATTTTCGCATCGCCTAAACTAAACCCAGGGGGCGGACCGGAAACGCATCTAATAAGTAATAAGCCAATGTAAACACCTCCAGCTATGCAGGTTATTATATTTAAATATTTCACAATACAAATTCAGAGAGAGTGTTCGCTGCTCAAAATCAACATTCAATTGGATGACTGGAAACGGTTTTTCCCCCCCTTAAAACCAAAAGATATGATCATTGTAAAGCGATGCTTCTTGTATAAAGTCATTCTCCGTGGAATTGCGAAATACCTGTAACTCCATATACAGGATCAGCCCGGCTTGCGGCACTTTGGCAGTAAGGAAACTTCATCGAGCTAATCAAGAGCGCTGGTCATGCATCGTAACTACTGGCGACAAAACAAATACTCATATACTCTGGACGTAATAAAATTACACTGGGATTTACATTACAGCTTCGTTACCTATAACACAGTAGAAATAAAATAGAACGTCAAGCTAGAAAGACTGGCGGGTTTCCCGTGTCTAAATACAGAATATCAATAGATATTCTATAACATTTATCATGGAAGTAACCACCGCTAAGCCCGCTCGGTGAAATGATGACGGTCCTGAAATAACAGCGCAAGTTCCGAAAGCGCGTACGCCTCAGAGACGTCTCACTGCTGCGGTTCGGAAACATCGTCGCCGAAAAACTTTAACCAAGAAGCAAACAGCAGAGTAAATAAATTTACTCTCAGTATTAAAGCTGAACAGTAATTACAGGCACTAGAGAGCTACTTAACTGCTGACGTTTAACACCATCACTACAGCGGCCGCGCTTCGGGGCGCGTCTTGCTCCGGCGGCTGACCGTTTATATACCGCTTTAAAGTCAGACTTCATAAAATAAAAGAAAAGAAGTTCAGTGTGTACGTGCAGGATGTTTTTATTCTAAGCAGACGTCCGCCTACTTGAGCTTAGAAATTTTATGTGCGCAACATCGGCTGGAATGCGGACATTGGCAAAGCTCTGGTGTTAGGGGCATCTAGCAAATTATATAAAACCTCTTCGCAACTAAAACATGGCGCAATTGTTATTCCCAATCACACAGTCCCTTAGTTATGGCACCAAAGACCGTGTTCCTCTCTTCATCGGGATAGATCATTATAAAATTTACTAACCGCTCGACAGAGACATTTTATCAAGAGAGAAACACGTCTCAACAACGACAACTTGACATAACAATTACAAGACAATCGATCACATAATAAAAAGCACGCACTCTCCAGCTGCGACTCATACAGCTGGGACACTATAAATAACTTCACTTACGCTGACGGGCAGCGACTAGATTCCGCTTCCCAGTTCAGCGGAGATGAAGACGCACTTTCGCAGTGTTACTAAAGACGCAAAAGCAGGTGCAACCTCGCTCCGGGAACTGGATCCTGCTGGATCGAGGAGGAAACCGGTCAGGCATCTCGCTGGTTTTCGCCTTTTCCCAGCTCCAGCGCGTACGAAAAAGGATGTCGGTGGCAACTGCGTAGTTTCTCGGCGTTTTGCGCTCGGCATTTCTGCTCCTGCTAGTCGCATTACAGCGCGTCCATCATGTGACGGCGTGCGGCTCACTATGGAAACTTAAAGGGTCCTCCCACGTGACCCACTCTGGAGCCGCGGCTGCCGGTGCTGCGGAAGGTCCGAGACTGAGGGGGATGAGTCAGGGGGCGCGGTGCATTACATCTGTCACCCAGAAACCTCTATTATTTCATGTAACCTGTGGACACGGAGCGCTTTAGACATATATTCATCTACATACTGCCTAAGATGATAATTACTTCTCGCAGATTTCATCAAAATATTTGAGAGGATCGTAAATCAACCCAAACAGTGTGCGCCCGATTTTACTTTTGCTTATCTTATGTTCATAACTTTTACATGAGAGTTTGTTTTTAAATGATCATACGTGATCTTTAAGTAAACTCAGATGATAAGTAACAAACGGGAAAACGCTACTCTCCTAAGTTCACATTCTCATTTAAACGAGGGGCTGCCGGTAGATGACCAGCATTCCGGTTTTAGCTTCTGAGAACTTATTAGATCAAAAAGTATGATGTCAGTTGACCGGGGATGTAGTGATTCACGGCCATTATTTTATAAGGTCTTCAGTGACATAATGGTGATTACAGTAAATATAGTGACTCATTCCCTTTTACCAGATATTGAGCATTACAATAAACCTTTATCAGGAGAAAGAGGTTTTGCATCATGAAAATACAGATGTGATGCGGAATAAAGGTATATATACGTGCACATAAACAAATATAGGCCTATATATTGTGATATAGTATAAAACTGATAACACTGTAACGTAACATCACTTATTTTAAAATGTCATTAAAATAAGTGATAAGTAATCTAAATTTGTTTTTTTTTCTTCAAATAATACCACACTGCATCAAAACCGAGTAGTTATTGTATTATATTGCCAGGGGCACAGAAACTGGCGAGGACGCGAGGGACCCTCCTGTATTTAATTTGGATTCGTTTATTGCCGCGAAAATAGAACTTTGTATATGAATTATTGCTCCCCGTATCAAAGTCTACGCCATTGAATACTGCATTTGATTTTCATAAAATTAAAAATCATAATAATTCTACTTTTAAAGTTGTGGAAGCTCCTGATGGTTCAGAGGAGAGACGTTAATTGATTAATAAGCGAATAAGGAAATTGTCAAGAAAAGGAGTGGGCTTCCGATGCCATGCCGTTTGCCAGTGAAACTCTATCAGCAGATTCACTCTTTCATTGGCACTGAAACTCAGAAAATAAAAAGCTCAAACTCATATTGACGACAGAGAAAGAACATTAGTAGAGGTGAAGCACCAGCGCTGAGATAATTACTGTAATTTAACTTCAGCACTGAAATAACGACCAGCAAACATAGGTTGACGTAGGTAGGCTATACACTCGTACAAAAACACATAATTACATTTCTGCGTATTAATGTAAAGAAAGTTCACGAGAATAATATCACTCATTGTTTAAACAGGTATGATTCTTATTGCAGGTATAGCGGTATGCAATGTCCTAGATTCTCAACATAGAAAAAGAACAATTATAGAAGTATATGCGAGAAATAAACACGTATCGTTATGGCCACCTTGGGAAACTTCTTAAACGCGACTCCATTCTTAAACATTACGCTGGCATATACAAATTCCTAACCTGAAAGACGTAAAAATAACTTCATTAGTAAATGACACATTTTTATATCTGCTTTCCTATTGCGGAACAATGTAGCGTCATGGTGAGTGACTACATTGCCCATATTACAGGTTAGGAATTACTAATCGCTCGACGCACCTTATGACCTCATAAGGTTTCTTCCTTGCAGAGTCCCGCTTCAATCCCATCATGAGTTTCATTGTTGTCAGTTTAAGATTGTCTCTGTGATTCTGGGCACAGTGATGGTCACTTTAATAATGTGCCCATCACAGGGTCTTAATTTTCATCCATTCGTTTTCTGCTTTTACTACATGGGAATGCCTGGCGCCTATATTCCAAGCTGCATGTGTGTTGGGCAGAGCTTAGATGGGATTCCATTCGATTGCAGGGTACAGGCACGCAAACATTCCTACACGCAGTCACACGTTATGGGGCAAATCAGAAACGCCAGGTCACCTAACGGCATATCTTTGGATTGGAGGCGGAAACCAGTGCGTCTGGATGAAACCACGTGACTCTGGGAAACTCCACAAGCAGACAGAGTGCGGCTGGCATTCAAATCCCCAGCGCACAAGTTGTGAGCCGCTGCCTCACTAATTATTTTAATATTTTCCAATGCTACCATTATACTCACCAGGGGAAGCGGTTCGAAGAAGGATGGGTAGGTTGTACAACTAAATACCTGTAACAGTTAAGCACAGATAATTATAACTCTTTTTTATTCGTAGAATTCGTTTAGTTATGTAAATTAAAATGAGCCTCTTAATTCAAATAATTTTCAGAGCTATATTACACACACTTACATATCTAGCATTACTAGAGTATATATACACATATTACACCGTGCAAGCAGCCGTTATGATAAGTATTAAGCTTGACCACTTGGCCAAGCTTGACCTAGTGATTGCGCGTGACGCTGTCAACCTCGGAGGATGCACTTGTGTAAATGGCACCACAGCTCTTACTGTCGGTATCGGGTCTCTTCCGGAAACAGAGAGCTTCAGCGTGCAGCGATTCACCGACCGATAATGACAATCAGGGTGTAGTCTAAGAGCCCGCTGTAGTGAACCCTGCTCTGGCACACAATCATCATCAACAATCCCGTTGCTTCCCAGCAGACGCCTAATATAGATGAAAATTTATTTATTTATTTAAATGTCGTTACATGTCCGTCGTATTTTCCGTGCAACTGTCAATGCAATCATTTTAACTCAGAAAAAGTAGATACATTCCACATCTATAAAAATGCTAAATAACTTTTTGTACAACGTTCTCAGAGCTCAGTATATAACTTTTCATAGGAGATCAGTATGAATGATTAATTATTTAGTATTTTCTCATCGTCGATACTTATGACCGGGGCAGACATTTCCGTCTACGTAAAACGCCATTCTCATTCTCACAACCCCCTCGGGGAGGTCTGCTGCCCCAGAATCTAGTGAATCCATGAAAAACACATGATTCACGGCTCAGGGACCCCCCACCGACCGACCCAGCGCGGATTACATCCCTCCAACAAAAGACTTTTCTATGCAGGGCTGTGGGTAACAGACCGCGCCCGCAGATAATAGGGAGTCCCACTCTCGCACAAGTCCAGGCATGGGAGATCAGCTTTACGAAAAGATGCCGAGAAACCATTTCCTTCTTTTATTCACACGCTCTATACAAGACGCGAAAGGACCGCTACTTATCTTCTAATGTTTCTATTGAATCTTTACTTGAAATGTCCTTTACAAAAAATCTTCCACAAAAATAACAGATATAATAATATAATTTATAGACTAATGATGTGTGCAAAGTGAATAAATATTTCGAATGCCACTGGGTCAGTTTTAGCGTTAACAAGCAGCCTAGAAGCACACTGCTGAAAGCAGGAAAATACATAGGACGCGGCCGCACAGCAGAAGGATAAATAGATGGGCATATCAGTAAAAAAGAAGAAACAAATCCTTGGCGTAAGCAGGTGTCAGAACAGTGCTGTCATTATTTGTCACGTTTGGATGGGATACGAATGACGTCATCACACCGTAATCAAAGATGCTTTTTGTCAGACCTCATCATTTTATGGTTATTGGTTGCGCCACCACCATCTGACTGATCGAAATGCACCGAGATATGGTGTTCCGCGCATGGATAATCTTAAGAAATGTATTGCACACTGCGACGCATTCCTGAAAACTTGGAAATTTCCAACCTCCTACTTAAAAAGTACTACGGAACAGCTGAACAGCATTGATTCGTAATGCAAATTTACGCAGGCGAATGCTAATTCTGCAAGCGCTGGATTCTTGCATAACACGGCAAAGTGCTATTGGAAATTAGCACGCAGTGAAAAATAATAATAATACAGGCATCCCACCTCTCCCGGCAGTTTCGGGAGTCTCCCGCAAATTGACTGTCGTTCCGCTATTAAGCAATGCAAACTCCCCCCAAATGTTACCACTGCTCTGCCCGCCTACCCTTAGTCGGGTATATATACAGTATATACTGTATATACACACACACACACACACACACACACACACACACACAGTATTACCGTAATACCAGCCAAGCATTGGGGATGGCCCCCATCTGCCTCCCTGGAATCAGTATGAGGTGAGGTATCTGATAATAATTGCACATAGTAAACCATGTACACCGCGTGAACAGTAAATAAGCATATATCTTCAGTTTTCGGTCACTGTCGCTTTCCTATTCAGCAACGTTGTCACCGAACCAACCCTGCTGTGGTGGAAAACCGATGGGAGCCGGAACCGCGCTATAACTAGTCCCTCTTCACAGTACAGCTCGGTATGGGTCGGTACCTGTAACCTGTTTGGCAAATCGCAACAACCCAAAGGCCTATTTAAAAGTGTTACTGAGGTTTTTTTTTTTTTTTAAAACACCTGTATCTCTGTAAATTGGTCTATTTCTATAAACGTGCCTTTTCCTAAAACAAGCTAACTGGTTTTGAAAACATTGGGATTTCAATAGGCGGCCCCAGAATGGAGGTGGGGGGTGGGGGGATTATGGGATGGGAGGGACAAGCCACCCCCTTGCAAGGAGGTGAAAGGCATTAAGAAGAAGGCCCAGTTAGCCTTTCAATGTTAGCGACTCTGCAGTCTGAGAGGGTTAGGGACACCCTCCGTCTCAGAGCAACAGCTCCTCTCAAGAGTGCATGGCCTGATGGGCTGGGGCCAGGGAAAGCGGGTTAGAAAGGACACTGTTTAAATGTTACTGTAATTATATATCAGAATGAAACACATAATATTAAAACATCACTGCCCAAGTAATCTTTCAGTGTTGTATCTGACATGGGTTGAAATTTTTGCTTCATAGAAATGCAACTGATTGCGTGCGAAAATTAACATATTTATTGAATAAAAATGTTATAGTACAATATATTGGTATATGATCTTAGAAAAAATACCTGATACTGTCGAATGCGTTAGGCACATATATATTTTTATCTCAGTGTATAACAAATGCAATAAATGCATTCACAAAAAATCCTCGTGGAAGGCACTGTGAGGAATCGAAGAGGCAAAATCCAGTCATATATCAATTTAACGTCATTTTCACACCATTTCCAACGGAGCAGTGTTGTTTACGGTGGCAAAGAAGATGATTAACAAACGACATGTATCGCAACATACGCTACTCGCCGTCACGATATGACTTCGTCGAAGAACATAACGCCACAGCAAAGCATCGTCGTGCAACGCCGTGCACTGCCTCTTTAAGTGACGAAAGGCAGCCCCGTTCCCGCTCCGCCCCGCCCCGCCCCGCCCCGCCCCGCCCCCCCTGAGCTCGCACACCCCTCGCGCTCTCGACGTCTTCGCCGCTTTTTATATGCGGATAAACAAGATGGCGGCCGTTCCGGAGAACAGAGCGCTCTCCTACGGTGTTTTTAAGTGGAGTTCATATTCCTCTACGTATCTCCCGGAGTGAGTAGTGCAGCGCACGGCGCCGCCGTTCTACCGCTCGGCTGGTGTTTGTGTGCGGGGCGATTTTAAAACGCTTCTGTTTGTCCATTACGGTGAATAGCCTGCTATGGCCTACTGCATTACCTCAGCACCGAGCTGTCTGACTATGCTAAGGCTAGTCTAAGATAGCATAACGGTGAAGTGAGGCCAGACTAAGGCTAAGGTAAGCTAAGGTTAGCAGGCGCCTCCACTGAAAGTGCGCTGTAAGAAGTGCTATCTACCGTAGATACTGGAAATGTAACAGGTCCTGGCAGGTTCGTGTAGGCGGCTGTAATCCGCTCTGCTAACTGACTAGGGGGAGGGATTTGCATAGTTAGCCAGCTAGCCATTTAGCAATGGTTATCAAAAATTCAAAGTATCTTTATTGTCATCTCCAGCTATATGACCCATGGGTCATGCGCTGAGATGAAATTACGGTCTCGTTGGTCTTACTGAGACTGACATGTTGAGACATTAGAGACATAAGACGTGGAAATAAAAACAATTCGTTTAAAAAGCACAGTATGTGAAATATACAGTTGTGCAAATAGGCAGTAAGTTGAATGGATGGGAATGTGAAATAACAGATTTTTTGTGACTATTATGATTCCAGTATATACATTGCAGACCATCTGATTCCATTATGGTCACATTAATAATGATAACAACACCAAAACCAAGCAGCCTTATCTGTGACAGGACCCTTGAAATGCTTAGCCGAGAGCTGTCCTTAAGGATTCCCATACACAACAGAGGGTCTTAGCATGCTTTGGTAACCGTCCAGGTAAGCTGGCTCCCAGCTCGGTTGGTAAAAAAAAGTTATAACCCTCAGAGGCTGGTGGCACATTTTTAACCGCCCCCCACAAACCAATGGGCCTTGGGGGGTCTCTGTGTCTGCCATACAGGGTTCAAAACTGATCGTTACCCAGATAGAATGTCCAGCATACTAATTATTAAAAGATTCCAATATTAAGTGGTTATTAAATTAGGTTACTTACGTTTTGAGTCCATGATGATATTCTCATTTTGTTAATTAGAGGATATAGTTTTGTCTACAGTTTTCATGGTGGTGATAATGTGATTTGAACGTGACACGGGAGTCCCCAGGTGTGTGGTGTAAATTGAAGGTATGGGGACAGGCACTGTTATTGGAGAGGACAGGCTGATCACTTTCACTTCGCATAAAATCGAAAGGAGAGGCTCAGTCAGGCAGCTGACCAGGGCTTTGAGTTGCGTCATTTGCTGTCATGAAGGTGGTTTCTACTCCCACTCAGTTGCCACACACTGCCGCTGTTGCATTTGGGTATGGTGCTGTCAGATAATGCAGCAGAAGGTTGGTGGTTCATGCCACGCATGCAGATGTTCCTGATGTGAAATGACAGCTGATTGGCTCAAGGTTGCATCTAATCACTGCATCTCATATGATAAACCTAGACAGTGGGCATTCCTTATGGCTTCCTCAATGAGCATGGCAGCATGCAGAGGGGCTTTTTTCACATGTCTGTGCTCTTCTTCCTTTCTCAGGAATATTTTGGTGGACAAACCCAATGACCAGTCTTCCAGATGGTCTTCCGAGAGCAACTATCCCCCTCAGGTCAGGATTTATCACAACCGTTAGTCACATGGGCACCTGCTACATGCGGCCGTCACTGGCCTACAAGGTTACTTGGATTTCATTTGTTTAGCCCTCAAAGGCTCATACTGACCCTACTTGCATTTCCCCCATCATTTTAGTACTTAATTCTGAAACTAGAGAGGCCAGCGATCGTGCAGAGCATCACCTTCGGAAAGTATGAAAAAACTCACGTGTGCAACCTGAAGAAGTTCAAGGTGTTTGGAGGGATGAGTGAGGAGAACATGACAGAGCTGCTGTCCAGGTGAGCAGGCGCCCTCCCTCTGTGGTGCTGTACCTGTCGGCAGTGTCTGTCACACTGCTTTGCTGTCTTCTGCTCTGCAACAAATAAAGACATTTAAATAACAGGCTGTGGTAGGTTCACTCCAAAACCATAGCTAGTATGTAAATGTGGGCCTGCAGCAGCCTGAAAGGTGCTTTTTATTCACTAAAATGAAAACACTTCTTTTGCAGTGGCCTTAAGAATGACTACAACAAGGAGACCTTCACGCTGAAGCACAAAATTGAGGAGCAGATGTTTCCATGTCGCTTCATCAAGATAGGTGAGGGTGTTGTTTTGTGCAGTCTGTAACTGAGCTAAGGCCAATTCACTTTTCCAGGTGCACTTTCGGTCCTCGTACAGGGTGTGTGACGTAAATTTCTTCACCAGGGGTGTGTGCCGGATGATGTGTGTGTAGCCCAGGTTTTTTTGTCCGGTGGAATTCACGCGTGCTGGTGTGCGCCGACTGTGCTCATGTAATGAAATTGACTAAGTGTTTCCAGTAGGTGGCAGCACTGACTTTCACAGAGCAGAAGTCAACTAAGAAAGAGTAGAGGAAGAATAGTTGTTGTTGTAGTTACGGTGAGCAGCTGTATGAGGAAGTGCGGAGGCACCCGCATGTCTTCATACTGGTCAGTGTTCGATTTTAAGGATTTTTTCATATTGTCCATAGGGCAAGCTCCTGGGTAACCTCAGGTTACCCACTGATAAATGACGTTGCCCTGCAAAAAAGGCACAAATTCTTCAGGACTGATTTTGAACCTGTTTCAGAGAACGTGTGTGTATGAGAGAGCGTGCGTGCAGCTTTAGCAGCTGGGAGGGAGTAGTATAACACTTACCTAATAGGCTTCGTGTGCAAGCATAGACGGCATCTATCTTAAAACATTCCATATGTATTTTGTTGCCAATCTATACTGTTCACACTGAATTATGCATCCTTTCACACATAACATACAAATTGAACCCGTATAATGCTGATGGGAAAGAATGATAAAAAAAAGCAAAAAATTACATTTTAACAAAATTTCATTGTATTCTTTTCAATATGTCAAATTACAAGTTTGTCTTTTAGTCATTTTCATATGCGCGCACAGTGTTAATGCAGCTCTCTGATGTACTGTGGAAAACCATCATGGTCTAAACCCTCTGAATTAACAAATCAGACTTATACTGTTTAAGATGCCCAAAATTAATGTGTTAATACGTTAATTAATGGGTGTCCTAAAACGACAAAAATGGTTATAACTCGTATCACCGTATGTATCGCTATCACTTCATTCAAAAATGAAACAATAATGTGAAAAAGAAATTCATAAGGATTTGCCAACTAATGCAGTGATGAATATAGGGCTGCACGATTTATCGATTTCAAATCGAAATCGCGATTTGAAACAACGCGATTAGCAAGTCGCAAAAATCGCGATTTAGGATACACATTATACAGCACGTCGGACCCAGGGTTTAAAACTGCTGTGAGAATAGTTTTACAAATTCATGCCGTGCTCCCTGTGTGAGTCATTCTCACCAATGAAGCTTGACATAAAAAAATGAAATAGCAAATCAAATCGTAATCGCAATTTCTGTCAGAAAAAT